AATTATATTTTTAAAAATTATTGCAGGTTTTCCAAAGCTTGGTAATAAGTCTTACTGCATAGTCTTGAAACTGGAAGGAAATAGAAGCACCTAGATGGGGCTTTATTTAAAATAATATGTAAAAATAAATATATAAACATCTGAGTGGTGTTTAGGCTGAGATGGGGACCATGTACACAGAGGGCAGTGAGGAACTGGCTGCCAGAGAAGCTGTGGCTGCCCCATCCTTGGAAGAGCTCAAGGCCAGGTTGGATGGGGCTTGGATCATCCTGGGACAGTGGAAGGTGTCCCTGCCCATGGCAGGGGGCTGGAATGAAATAATCTTTGAAGGTCCTTTCCAACCCAAACAATTCTATGATTCTGTGATCTGAGTGTAGCTTTTCTCTCACCCCCACCCTTCCAGTGCTCCTGTGGGATGCTGCATTAGGTTGTTTGGGCAGGTCTGCTGTGATAGGTAAGCATGAAGCATTTTCCTGGTATCAACAGACCAAAAGCTGTTGTTTCAAAAGCTCTCTCTATCTCTCTTGTGTGAGAAACATGAGACATATCAAATTTACTCTTTTATGTCATTATTAACACAAATGCAGCAGTGGGATGTGATGTGATGGAGCACAGTGCACTCCTGAAATGTAAAAAATGTTAGTATTTTAATTTAGTGCATTCAAAGTGATGATTCCTCTTCAAGAGGTGGGAGTGAATCCACTGTAAAATAACCGGCAGCCTGGTGGTTGAACAAGCCTACTGAGGACAAAAGACAGATTTCCAGTCCATAGATTGAATCTTCAGGATTTAATCCTAAAGTGAGATGAAACAATGCCCATTTTTCTTAAAGGAATCTCTTTTACTACACTAGGAGATTAAAAAAAAAGAAGAAAATAAAAGGAAAAGGATGGTGATCTGGAGGTGTTTTGAGATAAGTTTTCTGATCCTTGTTATTTGTGTTCCTAAATAGAGTGGCTGGGGAAGTACCTGGCTAAGGATGTGTGTTGTAGATGTGAGTTTTGCCAGTCACCAGGCTCTGTGCCAGCAGTGCAGCTGCCAGGATGGTGTGACAGGACAAGGCAGTGACCTCTGGGACCTTTGTCTTTGCTTCCACAACCCCAGTTTTTGAAAGGAGCTCCTCAAAATACCCAGGGGAAGTTTAGGATCAATGTGGCACTTGGCAGTGTGAGTTAGGATCCAGCAGACTCTGAGATGCTGTGGAGACACTGAGAAATGGATGCCATTGGACAAATTAGGAGATAATTACCTTTTCTCCTCTTAAAAAGATAATATTTGCTGGCACTAATTTATCCTTTTAGCTTTTGTCTTTTACTGACTCAGATAAAATTATTCACAGTTTTATTGTTTTTTAACATATCATGAGAGAGCAGAAAATTATTTTCTTAATTAATACAATTGATAGTGTTATCACTTTAGCTGCATTAATCTTTTGAATGAGCCCTACTGACTTTTTCTATGAGGTGACTCTGGGTCCATGGACATCTTTTGTTTCACTTTGCCATTTATCCCCTGCCATTAATCTGCTTTTACAAATAATAGAAACACTTGTCTGTGGGCCATGACTTTGGAAATAATGTTTGACTTCTTGTGCTCTCTTGTCAAGTACATTAAGGCATTCCTGCCACAGTAACTTCCACAGAGGATTTCCACAGCATCAGAGAATAGTTCAGTTTCTGGAGTTCCTATGGCACACAATACACACTGCTGTTTCCCATACTAAATAACTTTTGTCATTGAGCTTTTAGCTTTTTCAGGCTTTTTTTAATGGTTGGTGTCAACATTTCCTTCCTTTGCCTGTAAATTTACAAAAATGCACTCCCCACTTTATACCAGCTTGGCTGTCCTACATAAATTGGGTGCATCCACTTTTGGCTGATGATTGTTTTCTTATTAATTTAGACTAATTACTAATTAAGATTCCTTACTGATTTATATTAAGGACTTCAGATCTGAAGTCCTAGGTACCCATATTTGTCTAAGCCCCATGTAAGAGGACACATTAATTTGAACTTGTGTTGCTTCACCTCCCATTTGTAGCTTCTCAAAATGTTTTAGGAGTTATCAAGAACTTGCAAGCAATGAGCATTGGTACAAGCATGGATCACTTGTGTTTCTATTAAAATAATAATTTATAGTCCCTGTTGCTGACTCATTAACTTTTAGGAGCTATGTATCAGATTTATGACCTTTTTCAGGCATTTAATACCGTGATACCTTACAAAACACATGGATAAATAAAACTAACAGAGTTGGCAGCTCAAATCTTTGTTCCTGAAATTATGTAAATTGTAAAAGCGCACATCCCCTACTTTTGCTAGGCTTTTCCTACTAGTATGAAAGTTATCCCTCTCCACATGTTTTCACCCAATGTTTAGACACTAGATGCTGATTAAGATTATGGCTTTTCTTGACTTGGAGTTATGAGAGGACTAATTATTTTGCCCTGTTAATTACACACTTTTCTGTCTTGTGCACTCTAAAGGTGAGATTGATTCTGGAATAAAACTTCATTTTGGGGAAAACAGTTAATTCCTGTCTAATCAGGATGTTAAATATCTTTTAAAGCCATAATCAAGCATTAATCCTCTGCATTATATGTCACTAACAATTTTTGTGTAAATCAAGTAGAGTTGTTTTTTTATCTTCTTATATCCGAAACTTATTCTTAACTCACCAGATATGATTTAAAATAATAAGGAAAGTTTGTATACCTACTTGGAAGTTAGATATTAATTTCCTTTTATTTTTGTTGAAAATTTTCAAGAAATAATGTGCTCTCTCTGCTTAAGGCTGAGATAAAGTGTTTCTTTTCCAGCAACAGGAGAGGATAATCTGTTACAACATTAACATTTGCAAGCAGGTAAACAACTTATATCAAATGAAGCAGCAAAATTTGCCATGTCTAGGTGGACCAGAGAGGGCTTCTCCTGTCCCAAGGCTGTGATTTGTCTGGCAAGCCTGCACCTTTGCTTTAAGGCAGTTTAAAAATCCCAGTGTCTGCACTTCTGGCTGGGTTTAGCATTCACAGAAGCTGAAATTTCCTATTTAAATCTACTTTGTTTGTATGCTCAGACATAGGAAAATATTGTCCCTGTGAGCCACCTGATACTGACTGGAGTGGGAGATTCTACAGTGGCTAAAAGAGAAACATGCCCTTAAACCCTCTGATATTTGTATCAAACCCAGATTGTGCTGACAAGTCCCAGATGTACTTTTCCATTTGCATCACTTCAGCCACCCACATGGCTCAAATGCTGCAGCCACAGAGGAGCTGTGGGACCCTGCAAGCTCCGGGACAGAAAAACATCAGGATCCTTTTAATGGCCAGGTGGGACCTGGATCAAGGCCTGGGCTATGATAGGATGGACAGGATGACCCTGATTATTTCCCAGATTCATGCTTTAGGGCATCCTTTTGTACAAGATGGTCTTTTTAGACTGTCCAGGCTTTTGTACCAGAGCACCTGATTCAAAACTTAATGGTTGCTCTGTTGTCTGGAACAGACAATTTTTAGAAAGATAATTATTTATTTTTAAAGTTAATCAGCCTTTTTCTTTTAATAAAAAAAACCCAAATATAAAAAACAATGAGGCTGGTGAGCTTTAAATAGTTAATGCTGCTTAGAGCCACATGCTTTTTTGTTCTCTCCCATGTCTAGAGTAGCAGTGTGCCTTCATGGCTCAATTGCTTTCAGTAAAATCTTTCTTTTTTCATTTTTCCAAAGCTAGAAGGACAGTGGGGAGGGGGTTGTACCTGGCCACACAGGTTTGTTATTGACAAGACTGCCTGTCTTCAAGATGCAGAAGAGAGAGCAAATGGGTAAAATTAAGAAATAATTTTTGTTTCTTATTTAGTCTCCCTCCAAGTTGGACTTTTGAGGGGAAAAATTTAGAGCATCACAGCTTGCTGCTTGTCCCAGGTCCCACAGGAAAAGTTATGGAAGCCCTGAGTCAAGTGCTGAGTTCATGAGTGCCATTCCTGCCCCAGCAAGCACCCAGCAAGAGGAATTGGGGTGTCTGAATGCCCTAAAAAGCTCCTGGCTGGGTGCTTACAAACATGGCAGAAATGTTTTTGTCTTATGGAGGAGTTCCTCCCTTTCTTCTTCAATTGTCCTGGAGAGATGATTTTCATGGGTGTTTGCCAAATTCCCATTTTCCCCTACCAGGGTTTCCTTTACTTATATTAGCAGGTTTGACCTCAATAACCCATTTCCACACAAAAATACATGGAAAGAAAACCCAACAAGCCTTCCTAGATGACTCTACTATTTAATTCTCCTGCTGCTTTACAATTCCAATGGCCAATTGTTATGACTGTGGCCATGACAAGTTATTTGCATTGGAACACAACAGCTAAGGAACTCTAAGGGGAATTTATGGATGTAATTTTTCCCTTATCTGCAAAATTTGCAGAGCTGCCATCTGCAGACAAGGAGCCCCTCAGGGTACAAAGAAATTGCTGAGACTGTCTTGCAGGTAATTCCCAGTTTCTTGGCATTGTGAGAACCGTGTGTATAGACAAAGACAAGGAGCACAGACTCAGCTCCAGCTTTCCTCCAGTCCTGTCACTGGTCATGAGAATGAACAGATCGGCCCCCGCCCCTCCTCTTCCCTTCATGAGGATGTTACAGACCCCAGTGAGGTCTCCCCTCAGTCTCCTCAAGGCAGAACAGACCACATCACCTCACCTGCTCCTCAAAGGCTTTCCCCCCACCCCCTGCACCATCCTCGTGGCCTCCTCTGGGCACTCTCCAATAGCTTGATGCCTTTTTCCTGTTGTGTTCCCATGTAAATAATGATGTTCTTGGATAAAGTAAGTCATGACCTGAATCATGGCACAACACTTTATGCAAGTTTGAATGGTATCCTGAAGTGCCCTGGGCAGTGTCAGAGCAGAACTGAAGATGGGAATATGGATCCTGTGTATGAAACAAAAATATCTTCACATTTTCTAACAGCAGGTGTGGTCTATTGCAAACTCTGTTCTTTTGTTTTTCAGGCACTTAACTGGACATGAGTGGGATGGCATCAGGTCACAACAATTCTTCCCAGGAAGAATACATCCCACACTATCTCCAAAAGGAAGACCCTTTTGCATCAAAGCTCTCTAGAGAAGCTGACATCATAGCTGGCTTTTATTTGACAATAATTGGTAAAGATTTTACAATTGGTCTTTGAAAGATGACTGTGCTGCTGCATTTTTGCAGGTCTCAGAAAGGAGGCAGAAACTGCTGTTCATCAGATGTGTAATTACACATTTTTTCATACTAGAAAGAAAAATCTAGGAGGGAGGAGAGATAATGTGTTAGAAGTATAATGTCAACAGTTAATGTCAACAGCTAATGCTGCTGCAGGTAGCCAAAAGTGACTAGCAGTAGATGTTCCAGCAAAAAGTGAACAGATACTCATTGTTTTTAATAACTGATAGGTTGCTGCTCTGTACTTTAATTTGTCCCTGGGCAGAGCAGGGTTTCCCTCACTATGCATTGTGGGTTTTATGGCCTGTTTTCACAGCCTCTCTCATGAGCCTACACAGCAGGGAACACCCTCAGATGTGTTCATGTGACCCTTGCTCAGCTCCTGGCATCATCTGTCCTCTGTTACACATCATTTTGAGCAATATTTTCTGCCTAGCACCCTCCCCATCCTTTTTTGTGTTGGAGTTCTTTACAAGGTTCAAAGTGACTTTGCAAGCAGAATAAATACAATTATCTATTGCTTAGTGCACACCCATGATAGCTGGGACTGATTTCTCTTTAAAGTATTCACATGCCAAGGAGTTATCATTCAGCAGGAAAATTCTGGTCTCTGTTTCTTCTAGGGATAAACTGGGCCTGATTTTCAACAATTTTCCTTCTTTACTTTATGGAGGAGGACAGAGTTATATCTTTTTGCATCCATAATAACCTAAACACCTGAGGGAATGGCATGAAGCTGAGTAAGAGCAGGTTTGGGTTGGATATCAGGAAAAAAATTCTTCACCCAGAGGGTTTCTGGGCACTGGAACAGCTTCTCAGGGCAGTGGTCATAGCACCAAGCCTGACAGAGTTCAATAAGTGTTTGGGAAAAGCTCTCAGGCACATGATGGGATTCTTGGAATGCTCCTTTGCAGGGTCAGGAGCTGGATTTTGATGATCCATGTAGGTCTTTTTCAACTCAGGATATTCCATATTCTATTCTATTCTATTCTATTCTATTCTATTCTATTCTATTCTATTCTATTCTATTCTATTCTATTCTAATTCTATAATATTCTATTCTATTCCATTCTATTCCAATCTGTTCAATTCTTCTTCATGTATTTTAAGTTCCTTTATGCTTTATGGTCTTAGTTCACACACTTTCTCACACCTCAGCAGCTATTTTCTCACTAAATCTGATTTTGAGGACAGAACTGTTCTACAAAAAACCTGAGCTCCAGGTGTCAGATGTTGAAGACAAGGCTGAATACAGAGTGTACACTGATTCCTTGACATTTATTTCAGTTTTGATTCATTGTCTTGTTCAATGAGTTGTGCACAAAATACCAAGATCTGTCAGTCAGTCCCACTTTTGTGTTTCTCATTCACTACTTTACATCCCCCCATCTCCTCTGTCTTACTGCTTTTCCTCTGACTGATCTAAGCAATGTAAACTTTTCAATAGTGGAGGTATCAGAGTTTTTATTACTATTTCCCTTCTAATTATGTTTCTGTTTATTTCTTATTTCTCTTCTGCTTACGTCTTTATTGAAAAAATAATCCAGAGCAGCAGAGGTGACAGCTGGAGCTGTATCTCAGTACTGTTCTTGGTATTTCTACACTGTTTTGTAGGAATCCTCACTTTTCACACATATATTTTTTTTCTGTTGCTCTGCACACAGATGTCTTCACTGAACTATACAAAACAGCCCCCACTTTGGGTCTTTTTTCACTTGGTTAAGTAAACTTAGCTTTGATCCCAGGAAATATGTCTGATGGATGAATCCTCTCAGTAGACACCGTGTTGCCTTGTTATATTCATTGTGTTTAGTGTAGATTTATCCTGTCCAAAAATTACCTGCCAGATGTGAAACATCTTGAAAAATGCAGGCATAATCAAATTAAGGCAAGGAACAAGAATTAAAAATTTCCAGTGAAAAGCCAAAAGCCATCCATTAAGGCACAGACTTTTGTGAGCAATGTGAGCAAAATGAAACATTAATTTTAAAAGGTCTCACAATCATTTTGACATTGAGCTTGTGAATTCATTGTATCCAGTGGCCTGGGCCAGGGTAGTTCAAGCCACAGCTCTGCTGTATGTGTATGTATCTGTACACATCATATCCCACATTTAACTCTAAATTAACTTAATTTTTAAAGTGTGTGTTTTGCATTACATTTTACTTGGTTAATTGCTTTGCCCTTGTGTTCATAGCAAACTTTACTAGTGGCTTTCATTTGAGACAATTATGGTCTTCCCATTTCCATATAAATGCTGTATTTGCATATTCCTTGGACCTATAGAATAAGGATTTTAGGAGAAAAATTCTTCAGTGGAAGAATGGTTGAGCACAGGAATGGGGTACCCAGGGAATAGTGAAACCTTCAGCCCTGGAAGTGTTCAGAAAATGAGTGGAGGTGGCATTTCGTGGTATGGTTTGGTGGGCATGGTGGTGGTCAGCCAAAAGTTGGTCTTGATCACCTTGGAGGTCTTTTCCAACCTAAGTAATTTTATGATTCCATGTATGTGGTTTTTTATTGTGACTTGTGATTCAGACTGAACCTGTCACATTTTCCCACTGGACTGCATTGCCTACTCCTTTGCAGATTCCTTCCAAGAAGTTGTGACCCCTCCTGAGGATGGCCTGTGGGGACATCCTGACAGCAGAGACAGGGAAGCAGGAGGTGGGAAGCCAGGAGTGCTTTTGTGCATCTTTTTGCACTTGAGCTGTGTAAGGTGCAAGTGGGTTTAAAATTCCTTTCACAAAGGGGAAGAAGCTGAACAGTGAGTGAACAAGGCTGGATCTTATCAGGAAACTCAGCAGAGCTTTTAGGGTCAGAGTGGTACAGCTCAAGTACTGCAATCTGAAATACAAAAAATAATTGTTTTTTCTCTTTGAAGAAAACCAGCAGTCTTGACTAGTCTGATAAATTCTCTGTGAGTACATGATCCTTTGTCCTGAGTAGTTAATTTCCACATGTAGCTTTCTAATTGTCTGGGAAAAAAAAAAAAATCAGACTAAGCACATGGTTAAAAGAATCCAATTCTTTTGTCTTTGTCACTTCCCCCACCAGCATTTTCATCTCTGCCTTGATTGATTCACTGTACAGGCAGGTAGGGTGACAAACCACTGAGCTGGCTGTCAGCTGCTCTGAAAGCCCTTGGCAAGTCACTATTGATTTACAAACTGTTGTGCACACTTCCTCAGCCTGTTATGAAATAGCTTAATTGAAAACAAAATCCTAAACTTTTTTTTTCAAATTTTATTTTTTCTGATGGATTAGCACTGCTGTTAGGTTGGAGAACTGGAAGTTTATTTCTCCAGCTGGCCACTTGTAAACAGGTTTTCCTCTCACTGCAGGCTGCGTGCCTCAGCCTGGCTCTGTCTCTGCAGGTGTCACTTTAGTTATCACACTCTTGGCTCTTTGTTTGTATATATGTAATAGTGCCAGGGTGCCATGGACAGTTCTCCTGGAAAAGAGCCTCTTTTTTATATCTGAAAAGTCATTTCCCCCTGTTTTTAACCTACCAGAGCTGGGAACCTGCTCCAGCAAGGGCTTCAGCTGACTGCTAGGAAAGTCATTTCACAACAGGAGAAATGCCTCATCTCAGGAGGTTATAAAGTTTTGATCACCAAGGAGTTAAAAAAAGATTCAGATAAGCAATTTTCAGATGCAGGCATAGACAAAAGGCATCACAAATTATCAAATAACCCCTTCCAGCTATGGGATTAGGAGGTCAGTGGGCTGGAGCTCTCTGAAACATTGACATTAATAATGAGCAGTGGTTTCAGAGCAACTTGGCAACTTCAGAGTTACTTGGCTGATAGAGATGTCTCTCTAGACTGCCAGTCAGTTGAAAAGGATTCAGGAAAATGTCAAATACTTTCAAAAGGTATTTCAAACTGGATGCTGGCACTCTAGTTATCCTAAATATCACTGGAGAGGAAAATGGCATTATGAGAAAAAAGGATTAAAATATATGAAAAATGCTCGCAGCATTGAGATTCATTCATTCAGCTGCAAGAAAGAAAATGACTCATATGAATACCTCTATCTGCTTATAATTTAATTCACCAAGGGTAAATCAAATTTGATGAGAAAACCTAAGATCAATAATAAGCCAGCTTCTATCCTTCTGTTTATTTTGTAAAAGAATATAGAAAATAATACTGTCAATATAAAAATAAAAACTTTCCAGTAAGTGTTGCATTTAATACAGAAAAATTCAAAATCAAAGTATTTTTCTCCTGAATTTGGTGAACTTTTGATTTCTCAGTCACTCATATTTCTTGATAAATAATTTGGTTTTAGCTTCTGGGAGCCATTTCTCTGTCTGTCTCATGGATATTCCCAGATTGGGTTTCTTGATTTTGTGAGCACAAGGCACCCTTGCAAGGGAATCCTGCCATTGATGGACCAGTGTAAATACTAAAATGCCCATTTAAATACGGGATTATTTATTACTGAATTACCAAATTAATCACTAAATAATTAAATTCCCATTTAATTACTGAACTTCATTTTCTGAGGTCTGGCCTGCCAGAAGACTCAGATGAAAATTACAGGGTATTGAAAGGTACAACATTTGGAGAGGAAAGCACTGCTGGGAGGCTGGAGGGTTCTGGGGCCTTCTGGAAACAGAGGTTGCCCCAGCAGAGCCCCGTGTGCAAGGTAGCACAAAGGGTGCCTTTGATGGTTATCAACAGAGGAGAGTTGGGTTGTTTATTGACTCGATCTTCTCGAGTGTAGCCCGGCCAGCTCAGTGATGAGGTTTCTCTTCACTCGAGTTTCGAGCCAGCATATGTTTGTGGGGTTCACTGATTTTCTTCAAGAATCCAAGTCTATAGAGCGAGTAAAGAAATCAGGGGGGGACTCTCTCTCTGGTTTGCATTCCACAGTTTATTTCTGTGAAGGGGAATCCAAAGGGCGAGAGAACAAGGATTTGGGGTCTGGGGGGGTCTCTTTTAACAGGGTTTCTCGGAGGGAGGGAACATCAGAGAGAGAACCAATTATTTTTCTCAGTACATCTTACAAACTTTCTACAAATCAAGGTTACACACACCAAGATAAGAAATAACAGACACCAACTTCTTCAAATGCCCACAAAGGTGTGGGAGTATTCTGTACAGAGGGGCAGAGGGGGGGAGAGGGGGCTTGGTTTCCTGACAACACAGGGGGGAAAGAAAGGGAAGGCAAGGTAAGCATGCCTTCTCAGCTTCCATAGCTCAGAGGCATTCTGGGACAGGAAAAAGTTACAAACTTCCGTGTTGGAAAGAAGGGTCTCCTGGGCTAAAGAAACTTCAAGCAGCTGGAAATGCCAGCGGGGTCCTCTCTTTACTCTATCCGGCCTCTCGCCGTGGGGCTGAGGAGAGAAACTTCAGTAACCATGGTAACTTGATGCCAGGTAAACAGGAGAAAGAGAAGCTGGGGTGGGGGGGTGGGGATCACAACTAAAAGATGGGAAAAGATACATTTCAAACTATCAACTACAACAGTTTATGACTTTTTTTGGATCAGTGTGATGAGTTGGCCTCAGCAGGGAGCCAAGCACTCAGGACAGCCCTCAGAGCGGGACAGGGAGGAAAGAGGCAGAGAAATGTCGAGTTGTTAACGGGGGTCTCCAGGTCTTTAAGGAGATATTGGTTGCTATGAAGATGTTTATTGTATGAATGTATCAATCTCGAAGGCAAAGAGTTCAGAGAGTTAAAAGTCTGTGCTAAAAGCTTTTGGCATAAAGTCCCCAATTCCGAGCAGCAGCTTCCCAGCAGTTTCCTTGATCCAGGCCCCAGAAGCAGCTGCAGTTGTTCTCTGGGTGAGGATAATGATGGTGCTGCTGCTGTTCCTCTTCGTGTGTGCATGTGTACACAGGGATAATACAGGGGATTAAATTAGTAAATCATCCAATCAGCTAAAAACATGACTCTAAAACATTCTTTCTACACCAATCTTAGCTTCATTCTAATTTAAAGTCAGTCCTTATTAGCAGTCTAATTAGCAGTGTCAGTCCTTACCTAAAGCCTACGTATGGAGCATTATCTGTTTATGTATATAGTTCTATCTGCTCTATCTAGAAATGTAAGTTATATTCTTCCTATGTTTTCATTGTGTCTAGGACTAAGTTGAATCTGTGAAGGGTATAATTTCTGAACTTCAAACTAGGCCTTAGGGCTTTTCCCAAGCTAACACAGCCTCTTAAGGCACTTAAGCTGTATTTTTACTTACTTAAAACTAAAACCTACACTCATTTCATGTCTATGTGGTCTAATATATTTTAATACTTTTCTCTCTCTCAGGGACTCAGAGAGGTTTTTATTTCAAATTCCAACAGAGAAAAAGCAGTGGGGATGAAGACAGGGTGGGGATAAAGACAGGAAGATCCACTCTCAGTTACTGCAGTGGGCCAACAGACTCCTTGAAACGAATAAATTCAGAATCATGGAATCACAGAATGGTTTGGGTTGGATGGACCTTAAAGATCATCTCATTCCAACTCTCATCACGTGGTTCCAACCCCCAAAGCTTAATGTTTAATTACTGATTTAGGTAGTGAGAAACAAAGGTGTCAAACCTAAAATTCTTATGGAGATCACCCTTCCTCACCCTTTAAACCTAAAATACTTATTGAAAACACCCTTCCCCACCCTTCCCTGGGCTGAACTCCTCTCCAGAGTTTCCCTCAGTGCTGTTGTAGGTCTCCTTTGGGAGGCAAGGGCAGCACAGTCACTCTTTGCTCTTCACTCTTTTCTTCTGCATTTCCCTCCTTCTTATGTGTCTCCCCTCTTCCGGTGTGAGGCTCAATAGCCCATGGTCCCTTTGGGTTTTTCACCTTCTTGCTCCAAGAGAGGGATGATCTGTGTTGTGCTGTGTTTCCGCAGCAAAAATCTCACTCTGACCTTAAACTCTTTAAAACATGAATTAGTGAAGGCACATTTTCTTTAAGGGAACTGGAAACCCCACAATTTTCTGTACTGGGGAGATAAATTCCATGGCAGATGAACCACTTGCAGTGCTGGTACCTGCAGGTCTTTGGGTGATGATATGGGAAAAAATATGTCAGCCAATATGAGAAGGATCCCATGCACTGAGTTCCACCTGGAAGTTAAAATCAGATTAATCAGATTTATTTTGTAATTTTTCTTTCCTATGATAGAAATAATTTTTAATGTAAGATTTAGGACTTGATATTAATATATTAATTCAAATTAAACTGTAAATTTATCCTTCAATGTCTGATAAGAGTATTTAATAAAGTTGAAACTGTTCAGATTCTGGTTCCTGTGATTACAGAGAGCTGAATTTCGTTCTCGTGGCTGTATAAATGTTTGAGTGAGAGCTGGGCTGGCCAGAGCAGAAGGATTCTGGGGTTTCTGTTGTGAGATTTCCATCAATGGCTGTGCAGGCTCAGGTGGTGGAAGCAATGCCCTGCTGCAGAGGGGAAAACAGCATTTGCTGTGGGAGGGATGTGCCTGCGCTCGAGGTCTCTGGAAGCTGCACAATGACATGAGGGGATCAGATTTCAGAGTAAAATGCCCAGCCTTAGGGACCACAGGTTCAGGCTGCAAGTATCAGGGAATTTCATAAGGAAGATGGAGTATTGCTGGTTTTGAAGATGATTCTAGTTTGAATGTTATTCTATTTTCCATTATTACAGGGATCCTTTCAACTCTGGGGAATGGGTATGTTATTTTTATGTCCTCAAAGCGAAAAAAGAAGCTGAGACCTGCTGAGATAATGACTGTTAATTTAGCAGTGTGTGATCTGGGCATTTCAGGTAATTTAATGTTTTTATTTTCCCTTCTTTTTACTATCTCACCATTCTGCCTGGCAACAGCAAGAGACATTCCTCTGCAAGTCATGGGAGCACCAAATGCCTTTTGCTGCCGATATTTCTGCTCTATTATTTGCACGTAAAGAATAGAAGAGGATGGAAAACAACATTCCTGGACAGCTTGGTGGGAAGAAATGAACAGTACAGAGGAAAAATTAGGGTTGATTTTATCAACCAGGCAGAGCTCCTGTCCACCCTAGCACTGGGCAGGTGTCCACAGGCAGCTTCCATGTGCACCCTGGCTATAACCACAAAATACCTCGGATTACAGGTGCAGAAAATTATGTTTTCTTGCCATAGGGTGAAATAGAAAGGATCCAAATGCCTCAAAAATACACATTTTGCCAAATAATTGGAAAATGCCAGTGGCCATCAGCCCATCAAAGCTAATGGCCATCCTCCTTTGTCTCTGGATCAGGAAAAGTAAGCATTTTTGTCAATCTGTAGAGTATGAGCCAACTGGGAGGATTTTTTATTTCACCCCACAGTCTGGATGTCCTGGCATTGGAGGAGGGAGCTTTGGAGAGGTTTATCCAGAGTTGCAGAGATGGTTGTTTTGGCTTTTGACATGAGTCTAATTCAGCTGCTCATGGGTAAATACAGAAAAAGGGCTGGATGTCCTTTAGAAAAGGATATTTTGGATGGCAGGGATAACAGGACCCAACTAACCATGGGATCTCCCCTGTGCCATATAAATGAAATTATATTCTCATGCTTGCAGGGTCATTTGTCCCCAGTGTGTTGTACACACTGGGACCTCTGCCCTCTGCTCCAGTGCAGCCTTTTTCCTACCCTTGTCTCTGCCAGATGCTTTTGCCCTCATCTAAATGCCAAAAATATCAGTGAAAAATATAAAATGATGGCTCCCAGCCTCCCCAGGCTGATGCTTGTTTGAGCTCTCACAGAACAAGACCAAAGATCTGCTCATCCCTGTAGATTCCAGTGATTTTGGTCAGTAAACATGGACTTCTGAAGGAAATAATAATTCAGTAGAAGAGAGATGTTGGTATGAATATCACTGCTACCACACAGAGAAATCCCAGTGATCTCTTTGGCATTTCTGTCATGGACACACTACTTCCATCTCTCAACACTTAGAAGTTCAGGAAAAACCCAGAGTGGCTTTTCCCTCCCCTGAGATATTCCCATTTCCTTGGTGTTTTAAGAATCTGTATTATGAGGCTCATATTAGTCACTCCAATGAGAAAGAGTGTTTCAGGAGAATTTCCCCAGCTTTATATTCTGAATGTTGCCCAGAGAAGCCCCATCCCTGGAAGTGTCCAAGGCCAGGCTGGATGGGCTTGTAGCAACCTGGGATAGTGGAAGGTGTCCCTGCCCACGGCAGGGGGTTTGGGATGAGATGGTCTTTAAGATCTCTTCCAATCCAAAATATTCTGTGATTCTATGATTCAATGAATTTAACAGGAATCTCCTAACCATAAAAACTGTGTGTCCCAACCATTCAAAGTACAGCTTGTTTGGGACCCCAGTGTGAGGGCTGCCAATGTCTCTGTTCAGGTCTGTCACCAGTGCACCACCTTGCTTTCTTCCATGGGGAGTTCAAGATATCTGGGATTTACATTTTGGAATTAAAAATAGTGATTGCCAGAGCCATGCTTTATTTTCTCACTTCTCTATTTTTTAAATTTTTTTTTTTAATTAATGGAAGGTGCTAAGTTGAGAAATGTAATGGGTTCTGTCTGCTGGACAAACTGAAGATAGGATTTTTTTCCACAAAGTCTTCATATTTCACACACTTGTCTTAACAACATTTTGAAGAGTTCTGCTTCCTGCAGATTTCCACAGGGTGGCACCAGCCCCTTGCTCAAACCTGCATCAGGCTCGTTTTGCACTGACACCGTGCTCTGGGCTGCTTTGAGTCCTGCAGCTGAAGAGAAATTTGATTTTGTGCATAGAAATGTGCCTGCCTATAAATCCATCAGTCACTTATATGCCTAAAGTTGCTGACTTGATTGTTAGCACATAACCTAGACCTTGTCATATTTAATTTTTTTCTTGAAACCTTAATCCTTGAGGTCAGCTTTTGCTTGAAAAATCAAAAGTGCATTAATTCTGCTTGGAGGAAATCACATCATGCATTGATCTGGGAACATCCTGCAGGTCCAGGCAGAACTTCACTTGCAGGCTTAGACTGAAGGGTAGTAACCCAAAAATACCTTTTTAAAAATGCATCTGATTTTGAAGGGTTTTAAATCCTGATGCTTTTGGCATAGAAGATGGAGCAAAGGCAATTTTCTGCAAGATTCGGTTTTGGAGGAAGTACTTTAATCTTCTGTTAAGAATGAAAAAAGAATGCATGGTTTTACATCAGTTCAGTGTGAAATGGAATGTTTTTAGGAAAAATATTTTCCTACATATCAATTCAAGAAAATAGATTTCTGTCTTGGTTTCTATGAATAGGTTACCTTGTGGAAAATGCAGTTTGCAAGACAATTTTTGCCCTCTTCATAAACCAATTCACTGAGCTTCTGTGACATTACAAACACTGTAGTTCAGCCAGGGAAACTAGCCCAGGGAAGCTGAGATGTTTTCAAGTCCTTGAGGTGCTCTGGCTACTCCTGTGCAGGAAGGAACACAGTCACAGGAATGTGGAGTTCAATATTTAATGTTGTTTGAATGTTGCATTTGGCATGTACAGGCCTGGGAGAATTTAAGATCAGGCTGGTAAGTAAAACTGAAATGTTTGGAAAACAGATGTCCCTAGATTATAAATTTTTGAGCTTTCTGTTCCATTAAAGTTGATTTTTTTCCTTTGCCTAAATTTAGACCAAGAAAAAGGTAATAATTAGGAGAAAGAGGAGGTTTCCAACTAGATAATTACAATTTTTAAACTTTCTCTTTGTCACAATACTTACAAAGGATATGGAAAGTGTAAACCTGCTTTAAGGTGAGAATGGAATACCATTTGACCAAACTTCACTTCTTCCATAATTCAGCACTCACTTTTACCTGGGGAGGAATGAGCTAAAATGCCATTAAGAGAAAGCCTCAAAAATGATTACTCATTTCCCATCTCTTTGGGGAAGCTTAGAATGTTTTGATATCTGTGTGCAGTGACTTGCTAGGAGGCACCAGAGAAATGTGTGATGTGGAGAGGAGCTGAAACCACTTCTGCAGCTCCAGTCCATATCTTTCCTTCCCACCTAACACTTTACCTCACTGTGTATCCTACTGCTGGGCCTTGACAGGTTTGAAAAAGTCCTTTTTGAAGGCAAATTTCTTTACCTTGTGCTTGAAGACACCCAGTTGGCTACAGGGATGTAGATGATGTAGATCTGTGCATATTTCAAGCTCTGACTCACCATCACCCATCCTGTTTAGGTACTGGCATGTGGATTTAACACATCCTCTGAAGATTTCATAATGAGAAGAACCTGCCCATGATTAGTTCCAGAGTGGTGGTTTACCTCTGGTTCCTGTGGTTTATAGTAAAGCACCTATTTCCAGCACTTCTGCAGGCTTGGCTCATGCTACCACATCATGGGTGCCCTGGGATCTAGCTACAGCTCTCTTAGGCTCAGTCCTGTGTGTGGAGCGCTCACAAGCCGTGGAATCACAGAATGCTCTGGCTTGGAAGCACTTCATGGTCTTTAGACCATCTTGTTCCAACCCCCTGCCATGGGCAGGGACACCTTCCAGTGTACCAGGTTGCTCCAAGCCCCATCCCACCTGGCCTTGGACATTTCCGGAGATGGGATATCCACAGCTTCTCTGGGCAGCCCATGACAGTGACACCAGCCTCACAGTAAAGATTTTCTTCCTAATATCCCATCTAAATTTACCCTCCAGCTTAAAGTCACCACATACTGTGCCTGAAGCCCTTTCTCCATGGTGCAGAGCATTTTTAAGGGTCTAAGTTTTTTGCAAGGGATAGGGTTTGCTTTTCTGATACAAGGAGGTTTTCTCAAGGATGGCTTTTATCATTCTCTTCATGCCATTCTCTTCTCCTTTTGAAGTTGTAGGCAAACCCTTCAGCATCATCTCCTTCTTTTCCCACCGCTGGATGTTTGGGTGGATAGGCTGCCGCTGGTATGGCTGGGCTGGCTTCTTCTTTGGCTGTGGGAGCCTCATCACCATGACAGCTGTCAGCCTGGACAGGTACCTGAAAATCTGCCACTTGTCCTATGGTAAGACAAATATGTATCTATATATAGGTAACTGTATTATCTGTGAGTGCAGAAAAGCTCTATTAAGTGCTATAGTTCACTACACTGACATAATAATTAAGCTCATCAGAATACTTTTCTTAAATATAGAGGGGAGTGCACAGAGGAGAGAAACGTGTTTGCATGATCCAAGAAAGCCCAGTTAAATTCATTTTATTAGACATAACACCTTTGCTGTTGTCCCTGTGCTGTCTGCTTAAGCCATGAGTTTTTGTAACCCCTCATAGATAAATCACTTTATGTCTATCAAGACCCATTAGCATTAACAGAAGTAAGTACTGCACATATTGCAGGGTCTTATGGACCAACACATAAAAATATTCCTTATTAGATGCCTAAATTCCTCTGCAGTGTGTGACAAGCTATTTAAAACACCTGAGAGATTTGGAAGGGCAATAAGTCATAATGTGAAATAGTCTCTCAAATATGGAAATGGAACCTGAGAGGATGAAATGAATTTAGCAGTGTAAGGTGTTACCACCATATCCATCAATATCTTGTACCTCTGGAATATGATGTATTTTATGCTTCATTCTTTCCAGTCAAATGATATTGTCACAGTTTAGAAAAGATGTTCTTGAACCCTGAGGGACTAAATTCCCATCCAAATACAGGGAATGCTCAAGGTGACTTTACAAGTAATAAACAGCTTGCCCATGTGACTTGAGGGACACAACAGATTTCTTTATAATGACATAAAATATTGATCATGTTAAGCTGTAAGGAATGTTTGCAGCTAGGAACTGTAAGCCAGTCTGTGTGAACAGATAAAAGCTGTGGTGCCATGCCAAGATGTCCTATCACAGACCCTGGTGTGCCCATGGGAGTACAGAGGTCTCCTTCACTGAGTATTAGATACACCAATAATATTAAGCAGGATTTCAGTTCTTTCCATAGAAGCCTTCTCAAAATAATTCAGTGGTAACCCAAATCACAGACAGTTTTTCACAGAACTGGTGAGCTGAAGTGAATATTTAATGGCTGACTGTATTCATGCCACCAGCTGTGGTGTTTAACATGACATCTTAGTTCACAGGACAGAAAACGTTTCAAAACCTTTATTCTCACATGTTCTAATAATGGTGGTCCATAGAAGATGGAGAGCACTAAACAAACATGCTTATCATCCTCAGTCTAGGTGGTTAAAAACTGTTTCTCTTTTAATACTTATGATATCGGTGCTTTGTTTGTCCACCCCTGAGCACAACAAACCAGCTTTCTATCTCTCAGCCATCACACATGAATACATCATTTGTCAGGCAATGCTCATTTTCCTTCCAGTGACCTGGACATGTAAAATCAGCTGGGAAGGGATGCTGGACACATGAAAATTACAGGTGTTTCTTTTTTTGGGTTTTGTTTTAAGTTACCCTGAAACCCTGAAGAAATCTCCTTAATGTTGGAGTGAAATGAGTGAAAATCATTTCTGACTCACTCTCCTGTGAGTCAGAGGCTGCAAATGAATTGGGGTTCCAAGATGTTGTCCAAGGTGTTATATCACCATATTCTAAGTTTCTGCAAAAGTTAAAGATTTAAATTTGTTAGTCCTTTCTGGTAGGTTGAACAGGTAGATGATGATGAAAACTCTGTAAAGTGGAACTTTTTCCAGAAGAATTAGAGCTGTATGGAAGATAAGCAGGGAGACAATGTTCTCCAGGAATTCTGTTTGCATTTAATTAAAAAACAAAGGGGCAAAGATACATGAAAACATGTATTACAGATACTTCTGACAGGACATGTATGGTGGTTTTCTGTACTGGAAAAGAATGAAAAAGTAAAATTAAAGTGAAATTAAAAGTGAAATTAAATCTTAGATATCTTATTTTCACTGTAAAGCCTTGTTTTTCAGTCACTGAGTTTAAGCTTTAATCAGGTAACATAGGAGACAAAGAATAGGAAAAAACTTAAGTTACATTAAAGAATTGAAATTACTGGACAAATTCCTGCAACTCTTGCTGAGCTGGTTTGGATTTCTTTAGTTTGGACTCTTCTCAGTTGTAATTCATCACAAATTAAAGCAAATATATGAAATAAAGATAGGTGGAGCCTTCCATGTGAGTGTGCCTATGTCTTCATGAGGCACAACGTGAGCTCGGGGTCACTATGGACACCTTCAAAGAGCCAAGATGAACACCACAGAGTTCTTGTCAAACAGTCAAGCAAACTCATATTTCACAGAATCATAGAATGGTTTGGGTTGGAAGGGAGCTCAAAGACCATCCAGTTCCAAAGGCCCCACAGGGACAGCTTCCAGCTAGACCAGATTGCTCAGAGCCACATCCAGCCTGGCCTTGAGCACTTCCACGTGACATGACATATTCCATCGTGCCCAACACACCTGGACATGAACTTCTAACTCTTGAATTTTCTTCCAGGTACCTGGCTTAAGAGGCACCATGCATTTATCTGCCTGGCAATAATCTGGGCCTATGCTATGTTCTGGGCTACAGTTCCTTTTGCTGGGGTGGGGAGCTACGCCCCCGAGCCCTTTGGGACCTCCTGCACTCTGGACTGGTGGCTGGCACAAGCTTCAGTGGCTGGACAGGCCTTTGTTCTGAGCATCCTTTTCTTCTGCCTCCTGTTCCCAACTGCGGTGATTGTGTTTTCCTATGTGAAAATAATCTTAAAAGTCAAATCATCCACCAAAGAAGTCGCTCACTACGATACCAGGATTCAGAACAGCCACATTCTTGAAATGAAACTGACCAAGGTAGGTAGGAACGTTTTCCTCAGTTTGCTGTGTTGGATCATAGAAGCAGATTTGGAGACAATGACATGATGCTCTGGAGGTGGTTTTTGTAGCTTTCTCCCCTGTTACTGTCAAGATGGGGAAAAAACAGGAGTGGAGACATAATTCTGTGATTAGGGCACTTGGGTCACTGAGATGATGATTCACCCCGAAGCTCTGCGACAGCTTTCCCTTATGACCTTACAAGTTATATCATCTCCCTGTGGCCCTGCTCCCCATAAAACACCCTTTGCTTTCAGAAACAGATGTAAAGGGTAATTTAATGTTTGATGTTCATAGGAATTATAACAGAAAACAGATAGAGAGCAGATTATTGAAGTAGGGAAATAAAACTTTCAGACAGTTTCCGTTACTCTGTTAATGAAGATATAAACCAAAATTGGTCCTGTGACACTGAAATTGTTTCTATGCAAATAATTTACCAGTTAGGCTCAGCCATGAAGTGCTGATAAAAATGCTGAAGTGCTAAAATTAATTTTCCATCTGAGATCAAATCCTGTTTTCTTTTTCTGAATGAATCTGTTTTCTGCAGTGGAGACAACCATGATCCTTGATACTGGTTATTGTGCCAGGAAATCTCTCAAAAGAAAGGCTTGTATTGAACAAAATCAGATTCCTTAGCTGTAAAAGAGTCACCAACCTCTGTAAGCCATGCCAAGAGTGAAACAAGCAGCAAGCTTTGCTTGGCTGATCAAATTTTATTACAATATTTGTGAGTTGAACTGAGAGTTATATAACATACATCAATAAGGGACATTATGTCTAAACATATCTGAAAATCTCAGCTATGTACCTGCACAGCCAGTGCTGCCAGTACAGCTGGTACAACTGCACTTGCCTTTCAAAAGGATGTTTCAAATTGTAACTTTTTTTGTGGTTATTCAGCAAATTTCCTTTGAAGGTCAACGGCAACTTTTGATTTGAGGCTGCAGATTTTTTTTTTTGTTATATTGGAAGAATCATGTAAAACTTCAATGTGATCTGAGTCACAACACCAGTAATTTTCCCCTCCTTTCTTGGATATACACTGGAGAACATAATGTTGAGATAAATATAAATATGGAAAATTAGTGTCCCTTATAACCCATTTGACCCCACAGCACAATTTATAATGAACAGGCTGTGTTTGAGATCCTGGGCTCACCTGCACTGTTCTTTCAGTGACAACAAAAAGAAAGAGGCAACAAAAAGAACAGCCTACAGGAAAGGTTATGCAATGTCCAAACCCCTTGTGCTTCCTGGTGAATTTTTTTGGTAATCTAATCCTGCTAATTGCCTTATTCCAAATGGGTGCACGTATGCTGCTACCAGTGTGGATGGAGCAGTAATCTGTCAATGGCAGCAGTATAAAGGCAGATGTTTTTCAGGATGTATGAGGCATGGCATCATTTGAAGTGATATCAGGCTGTGACCGAGTGCAGACAGGCTGGTTCAGGTAAAGTATTTTGGCCCCAAACAATTTTGCTTTGGTATTTATACTAAACTTTCTTGTGGTTACATTTTCTCACATTATATGGAGGTCAACTACTAATCTACCAGGAACTCATTTATCAAAACTAAAATATTTAACACAAATTTGCTTTTTAAAGTAGCTACACATTCTAATGGAGTACAAATCCATGATATGGGTTAGGAGAAATAAATCTAGACATTTTACTAGCATTCTTACTCTCGGTTAAATTCTCAGTTTTCAAAAGATCCTTTTTTACAAAAAGATCTTCAGGCTCTGCTATTATCAGTATACTATGCTAAAAAGGAGATTCTGTGTTTCAAAAGGAATTCTCTCCTTAAATAATTTGAATTCAATATTGAGCTATTATTATTTTCTGAACTCTCTTTTAGTTTCCTCATATTTAGTCAGACTTCACTGCATTTTTAAGGGTCTGATAGCAGACTTATTAACTGCTCTGCGTCAGGCAAAAGAAACACAGGCAGGAGATAAAGAGGCAGATTTTGTTCATATTGTAAATTTATATGAAAAAGCAAGTCATCATTTTCCTTTTCCATTCAGTGGAACACAATTCCCTTGTATTCTGCCTAGCTCTGTGCTGCTCTGCCGGTGTCTGACTCTTCAGGATAATCCCCACTGTCTCTTTTCTGCTCTCACAAGGTGGCAATGTTGATCTGCGCAGGGTTCCTCATTGCCTGGATCCCTTACGCCGTGGTCTCGGTCTGGTCAGCCTTTGGACGGCCGGACTCGGTCCCCATCCCGTTCTCAGTGATCCCAACACTGCTTGCAAAGTCAGCAGCCATGTACAACCCCATCATTTACCAGGTCATTGACTGCAAGTTTGCCTGCTGCCGGTCAGGAGGGCTGGAGGCCAAGAGCTCTTTGAAGAAATCAAGGTAATTTCTTCTTTGGGGAGTAGGATACCTTTAAGAACATGATGTTCCAAAAAGTACCAAAGTAAGATCTACCAAGAATCACTGCTCATTGAATCTTATTGCTTGGTTTTGATTTGGGATTTTTCTTGACATGAGAATTTGTAAAGTGACTGTAGGTGAGTAAGGAGAAGCAGGAGGACAGTCCTTATTTTTAGATCCAGCTGCAACTCCATTGATACAGTTTGGAAAAAAAGTCCCATTGATTTTAATGGGTTTTGGGTCAATCCTGTCTTCCTAATTCTTTTCTTTCACATCATCATATGAACTTCCTCCAGAAGGTGTTGATGACTTCTATTGCCAGTGAAACAAATGGAAGACAATTGTGTTAATTCCTTCTGTAATCAACCTGTTAATATTATACCTTTCATCCTAAATCAGCACTGAATCAGCAGGGAGACACAATAGTTCCCCAACCACCCAGCACTTACCATTCATACCAAGAAAACCCACCTCAAACCAGACAAATCAAAGTGTAATTGTCTCATAAGAATGTCTCCTTTTTTTTTTTATTATTTTTTTATTTGCAACCTTCAGGCAAAATGTGTGCTGCACACTTAAAGAATTCTTGAAAACACTAATTATGCTCTTGGTGTATAGTTCTGTATTATGGCAGACAAGTACCTTACTTTTGTGGCTGAATGAGATAATGGTGGATGTTAATCTGACAGTGTAGACTGTCACAAACACCACACCACACATAAGTGACTGTGAAACAATAGAATTGCAGTAATTTGCTTGAAAGACCTAAAACATAAGTGCCTCAATTGAAGCATAAAGGACCATTTTATTATTCATATTATTCCCTTATCAATTCCATCATTTTTGCTGTTGCTCAGTGAGTCAATCATGAACTTCCACAGCTTCTTGTAGCAGATCGTTCCATAATCTTGCACTGAGATTCATTTCATCTGCAGAACATACAGAGTTGATATATGCTGTGAATGTCTGAGATGTTGAATTTATAGTTTGCCAAAATCCCTTCTGTGGTTTTAGTCAAATGGGACACAAATTCAAAGTAACTTCCAGTGGATTTTTGGTAGCTGGATTTGTGTTTAACATCTGAAGGAGATCGCACCCAGTGCCTCAAGCTGAATGCAGGCTGGCTTCTCTAGGCCTGTTTAGTGAACAAAATGATCTGGAAGAATCACTTCCCAGATGTAGGAACTTAATTTCCAGCTTGGTGTGAGCAAAGTGAGCATTGTTCCTTCTCTGCCCCACAGGACATACACAATATCTGCACCCAGAGACTCCACAGCGATGAACGAAACCCAGCTGGAAGCATGAGGGCTCATCTCACTTACAGCAAGTGAAAACCTGATGGCAAACCACCCTACTGGCTCAAGCCCCTCTTTCTGTAAATGAATTAAAACATCCTGACAGGTTTATTTTGCTCCCTATTGCTATGTGCAATGTACAGTTCTTTCCATCCTGACCAAAGTTGTGCATTGGGAAAATATTCTAAGGACTCAGGGGAAGAAGAAACAGAAAATTTGTTTTTTATTGAAAATTTTCCTTCACTTCAGATATTTTAGAATGCCCTTTTTTAGCTCTTCTTAGCACTAACAGAAATGATAGTTTGGGCAATATTTTCTCTCAGAGGAAGCAAAGTATTCATAAAGGGCAGTTTTAATTTACCAAAGCTAATCTCCCTAAATTCCTGCTGCAGTCACTGGAGACCTGGAGCACGAAGGAAAGGATTCCTTAGAGGACAAATCTGAGTTGGAGCTTCTCTTCTCAGGGCTCTGAATTACACAGTGGGGAAATAGTAGCTGACTGGATTTCCCTGGTGAGCATCTCTCCAAATCATGAGGCTACAAGCTGTGTTAAACCCACTTTGACCCAGTCCTTCAATATTCAGAAATATTTTGATTTTAGTCATGACAAAGTCAGAGGTGCCACATTCATATACAGGATCACTTTATGAGATATAAAATAATCATTACTCAGTTGTGAATGAAAGGGGAAAGGTCTCTTTCTCAAATTGTAGATTAATTTAGGAGTTATGAATAACTTTGTAATAAAAAAGCAGAAGTGAAATTAAGTCAGCCCAAGCCAAACAGAGCAAACCATTATTTTACACATTTTTATCATTCTCTGGCCAAAATTACAATGAAGTGTGATGAAAATAAGCAGAAAGATTCGATAACGGAATTTTTCACTGTGTATTTTACTCATCACAATTCTTCATGAGTTCAATTCATGAGATATAAAATGGCAAAATGTTCCTCAATCCGAACCATGAAAAAAAATTCAAAACTGGTGTGTTTGTGAGAAGGGTCACAGCACTGGTAACAGAGGAGCCTTTCCAAAGTGCAGCTGCAGAGTAATTTTTAATCACTAAGTCCTGGAAGGATGAGGATTAATAACTATTTGAGAGAATAAAGTTCTGTAAGTTCCTAATGCATTCAACAGAAAAACAATGTGTCTTGAAAAGACCTGCAGAGTAAGGCAGCCAAAAAACTTGTCTTGGATAGGAGCCATAATCATTCCTATTATCTCCTTTTTCTCCTTTGGATTTATCTTAAAGTGGAGGCATCACTACAGATCAAAACCAAGCATTTCAGTGAAAGCAGAGTCTTAATTCTTAAAATAATGACTTTGATGTTTCTCTATAATATTTTTTTTTTCAAGAATGATTTTATTAAAAATAAGTTAATTGCAAATCAAAAAGTCTCCCACACAGATTTCTGCTGACTATTAAAAAACCCCAAAGTTTCAAGGGCAAAGCTTTCTTCTGAGTTGTTCCTTTAAGGAAAGAAAGCATTTGTGAGTTTCAATTACTTTCCTGTTTAATATTTCCTGTTTAATGTTAATTCAGAATTGTGTTTAATACACATTTTCTGCAACACTGAACTGAACTTCTTTTGTAGCTGATTCATGGTGATGTTAATATTGCTTTATACAATAACATTATAAAGGTTTAATCTGATGTTTGTTGGCATGTCCCAGAACTCCCATTCTGCAGCTGCTATTTTATCAAATGATATTCAGACCATGTAGCAGAATTTTGTTGATTTTTCCTAAAGTATTGTTTGCTGTGAAATGTTTTAGCAAAAGAAGTTTGAATAAAAAGGAAGAGAACTTGCAGAGGTACTGAGTTGCTGTGCTACCTATACATTGCTTTGTATTTTCCCCCAGAAGTCGAGTTCTTTCATTTTGAAATACCTTTCAGCATAAAACAAACTACTTTTTTAACTACAGTTGCAAACTGTGCCCACAAATTGATCCAGAGCATCTTTTAAAATATCTGCAGACTTGGTTATGGAGATATTGACATGCTTGCCTGCATCTTCCTGCAGCTTTTTTTACTTTCTTCATCCAGGCAAACTTTTATTTGTATCTTTAGGTGTTTATCATAACTAAAGTGTGATGTAAATCAGAACAGTGTCCCTAAAAATGAGATTAGCTGGAGCAACACTGTTGGTAAAATTGTAGGAATTGCTGACTACTCTGGCCAGATTTAGGGGTAAATCAACTCACAGTTTGTGTATCAGCCCTTCCTCTAATTTAAATTCAGGTAGCTTTTCTCTTTATTTGATAAAATTATGTACTTTCCTCAGAATTGCTGCTGGGTCATCCCAGAAGTGTATACACACTTGTGGTAGGATGAATTTTATATTTTTAAAGAGTGTAGGATGTTTTTGAATTCGTTATATAGTTGGATTCCACTATAACAAATGTACTAGATACATGTGCTATCTAAAGAGTTCAGAGGTTTAGTAAACCCTAAATATGAACTTCCAGAATAATGATAAATGTGTTTCATATGACTTAAATATATTTATTTTCACATTATTGAAATTTATTTATTTTTTATTCAGTGCCATAACTATTCTTGTCTGAAAACTCTGTTTTGCCATGACTGAACAATATCTTGCCCTAGAAGAAAGTTTAGGATTCCAGCTTGTGCAGGAGTTAGAGACAAGTTTATGCTGAGCATGTGTTCAAGTGAAAGATGTTCCCCTGAACCAAGCAGGACATGCACATTTTGGCATGCAGTGCTTAATTTAAATGCAGAATCTGAAGATAGGAGCAAATGGATCTCATTGGGTTCAGTGACAAAGGAGAACTGGAGCACTCTCTTTGTTCACCTGTATATAAAGCAGCTCACACAGTTTCTGCTCTGTTTGGGATCACAGTGGTAGAGGAATGAGGGGTCATTATGGATTCACATGTTCAAGGTCAGTTTTGAATTGATTTGAAGGTTGTAGCCAGATGGTTCCAAAGATAATACTTTGCCACTGATGCTCAGGAGAGAGTTTCTCCCTCTCCCTGTGCTGAGGCTGATGATTATTATATAAAACTGAGATATGTAAGCTTGGTCTGAGGTCATCAAAAGACCAAATCTCTCACTTTCCTCTTTTCTTCTAAATGTTTTACAAATTTCAAACTTATGCCATTTTGTGATCTGAGCTTTGTCAAAGCACCAACAGTGTAAAACCTACTCAGTGTGATGAATGAGTAAGGAATATGACTCTGAAGGAAGATTTATTTATTGCATTTTCAATATTTCATCCTCCTTGTTATTTTAAGGAATTTCCTCTTTTTGTGTATAAACACTAAACTAAATGTTTTTTAATGAAAATAGTGTCATCAAGAATAATAGCTATAAATGAAGATCTTTTATTATGTAACCTTTGTGTACATTCAGAGTGGACTGCCAAGAGGCAAAATTCTATTTGAATTCGCTGTTCATGGCTTGAAGGAAGTAATTGACACAGGCTAAGACTGCACTTAGATAATGAGCTGACCTGGACCCCAAGATTGAGAGTAAGAGAGTAGTGAGAGCAGTATTGTACTTTGAAGCAATAGTGAAATTATGCAAAGCATGAGGGCATGGAAATTTTTTATTTGTCATTTTCAGTCATAGATGAAGAATGACTTTAAACCTTCTTCTGCAGACTTGGAAATCTGTTGACAATGAAGAAATATCAAGATTTAAAATGCCCGAAGAGGCTCTTGAAATAGGAGATTTAAACAAACTTTTATGACAGAAGTTGGAAAAAATAAAGTACTAAAAATGTAAGTTACGGTTGTGGGATTTTGGAAGACAGTAGAGAGCATTTGTCCATGCAGGTGAATGCAGCTGTAGCAAATTTTATTTCTAGACCTGTAATAAAAATTAAAAGAACCCAACCTAACAAATGACTTGTTAAAAACATTTTTCACTCACAGCACAATATTGCTGATAGCAGAAGATTTTTGGCTTTATGGCATTGAAAGTGAAAGAGAAAATTAATGTGTCTTCATATGAAAAGAATGGGATTAATGAATGACAGGTACAATGATAGTGAATGGAATTCCTTGGTGGAACTTTTCCCTTGGCTGACAATGTCTTTTAGAGGCTGTTCCACCTACACAGGGTATAGGGTGTTCTTGGTCATGAGAATAAATCTGAATATGTGCTGAATGAACAGGCACTTATTTCTCCTGCAATTCTACATTATTCATTTTATGTTTATGTTTCCACCTCCTCTCCCCACCAGGGAACTTTCAGATACATCAGTCTGCATCCCTCAGGAAAGCTGCTTTGGCATCTTTTTAGTCACATTTCCCAGCTCAGGATGTCCCCACGTGAGTCTTGCCCTGGTGTCCTGGTTTAGGGCAAATCTGGGAGAAAACCTCCAGTGGGGCTCCCCCCGGGAAGCAAACTCACGTGGCCCTTTTCTCCCACCCCCCAATCTGTTTGGGAAGAGATTTCTCTGAGAGAAGTGGAAAAAACCTGTTTATTTCACAGGCACAGCACTACCCAGCACATGAACAATATCAAATTACAAAACCTCTCACTGTTCAGAAGAGATGACAAACTTCAGAGGGTCTCTTTCCTGTGGGTGTTCACTCTGTTATCAGTCCCTCCGGCGCTGGAAAATGCTGCTGCCCAGGCTGGGCTCTCGGTAGTCCACGGGTGCAAGCTCCCGGTGCTCCCCCGAGTCCCCAGTCCAGAGCAGGTTCGATTCGTTTCAAAAAAGGGAAAGAAAACAGTCCAGGAAGACTTCTCTGCTTCGGCTAGCTGGAAAGCCAAGGCGATCTGTGTCTTGTCTGTCTGTGCTGTAGTCAAAACCCCATCCCAGGATGCGGGGGGAGCAAGTACAGTCTCTGATAACAGACTCGGTGCTTCTTTTCCACTCACTTTTACTCTCAGATGGAATTTTAAGAATACAAAACCTGTGTCTGGGTTAGGTGGACAAATGGGGATACAATTTAACATCATAATCAACCCAGGACAGCTGGGTAAGAAGCTCTTGGCCAACAATGTTCACCATAACACCGATTTCTCTTCTTCC